CGCGCCCCCCCCCCGGCCTCTCTCTCTCCGTAGTTCGCTACTGTCTATAAAGCGAGGGATAAGAACACCAACCAGATCGTGGCTATTAAAAAGGTGAGTGTCGGAATAGTTTTCCCATTGCGCGATCAAGTGTCTGGTTGCCCTTGACCTGCCCAATCATTTTTTTTTTTTTTTTTATGACCGCCTTAATGGGTAATGGGGGAATATATATTTTTGTTTCTAGACTGTTTTGTTTAAATGATCTAGTTAACCTCTCTTTAATGCCTTCCCCTCCCCCGCCAGGAAGAGAGGCTAGCTTCAGTCTTGTTTCTGTGTTTCTAAAGGGTTACTTGGTCTGTAACTTGAATTTTTGGTTATTTGTTAGATTTATTTAAAAAAAAAACACCAAACAAAACACCCACGCATTTCCAAACTTCAGACCTTATTAGTCCTTGACACTGGCTTTTTTTTTAATCTTTCTTCCTGCTGTGCCAAATTTCCTTCAGCCCAGGAATGTTACTCCCGATTAAGTTCTTTAGAATTGGTGATATTTTTTTGACAAAATTTGACAAAAGTGATCTTAGATCTGCAGCTTGGCTGTTTGAATACAAATGTTGAAAATGTCTATGTTGTCATAAAGTGTTTCACTTCATACTATTTGAATAGAGTGCAGGAGGTTTTTGTATTAAAAATGGATGATTAGCTGTGCTTTGTGAGGGGTGAAAAATGCATATTACAGAGCTTTGGTTAGTTAAAGAGCCTATTTTACTAGGCAAGTTGAACCATATCAATAGTAAGTAATTTTGTTTGATACACCAGTCCCTTTTAGCATTATAATACTTCTCCTGTATGGTTGCTTCTAGTAGCAGCTGTTGTGAAAAGCATTCTTGTTTTTATCAGAATATTTTCTTAACTTTTATCATCAGGAAATATGAATGTCGGGATTCTGGACTTGGAAATTTCAGGGCAGTAGATGATTGAGATAGAATGATTCTAGTAAAATCAGCATACTCTGTAAACTTGGGCTGCCTTAATTCCTTCTAAGATGACTGTCAATTACTTTGCCCTCATTTCTCCCAGAGGAGAAGCTCATTAGTGGTATAATAAAGCTTTGCAGCTACAAAGCATTTTATGCTGCCAGTTTGCATGATGTCTGGTTTCAGTGCCATCGTGATTGTTTTTAAGCTTTTATAAAAACTAATGCTGTAGAAACAATTATTTGGGGGGGGGAGAATGAACCCAAAACCAACCCTAGCTGGTAAAGTGCTCTATGGTATTGAAACTCATAATGTCTTAGAAGAGTAATACTAAAGAATGTATCCCCTGCTGTTGGGACAGATGGCTTAACCTTAAAAATATGAAACATTTCTTTTCAGATTAAACTGGGACATAGATCAGAAGCTAAAGATGGTGAGTTTCAAAAGTAATTCATGCTGCAGAAGCTGTGCTTTGTTTGTTTGGGGTTTTTTTTGTGTGCAAATTGGTACATTAATTTCACATACCATAACTTGGCTGAGAAAAATGAGCTCAACTCTCAGTGTAAGGCTTAGTGGAGGATTGCTTCCCAAACTGCACAGACGGAAAAAAGCAGCAGAGATACCTGCATGCATAGTATGTGTCTAAATAAGAGTATATAACTGCTTAGCTTCTCAATTTAAGTGGAATACAAACATGAATATAGCATAGAATAATAATCTTTACAGCACTTAGTTTAGAATACCTTTCTGTATTGATGCATCTCTGTGCCTTAAATATTTAAGACAGGTAAGAGTATTTATCTCTGTTTTCAGATGTTTCCTTTGTTCTATTTTTGTGATTTATGCTGAGACAAAAGTTGATAAAAACAAGACCTTAAAACTCTTGTCTCTGTGTGGGTTTGTTTTATGTCGAGAAATCAGGTCTACAGAGCAGTGTCTTTTGATCGTGTGCTCTGACCAGCCACGTGCCTTTAGGCGTGGATATTGCAAGTAAAAACCCAAGGATCCTGGTTTTCTCTTACAGCCTGTGTGGTGCAGTAGAATTTTGTATGTGCGTAGGCTGCCATCCTTCAGGGATCCTGCATCAGGTTACCAGCTTTCCAGTGAAGAATCTTTGCTCTTAGCTCTCCAATTCTGTTATAAGGGAAGAATTTTTAAAAAGAAACTGAGCGCTCATCCCAGAGTCTCACGGTTGAGCCGACTGCCAAGAGAGTTGTGGTCCACCTGGCCTTCAGTGGACTAATGTCCTTTAAGGACAGTCATTGCTTTTGGCCTATACAATGTCTAGCTATAGTTCAAAGATGTTATTAAAAATAGTGATCATGTCTGGTTTCCCTGTCTTATCTGATAACATGGCATACTTTTTTTTTTCTTAATCTAAGGCTTTGTCCACCCAAAAGCAGCCGTCGACAACTTGATTCCAAAATAGGTCACTGAAATAGGCAAAGCAGGAGTGTAAAGTAATCCATGTAGTTTTCCCCAAAACTTTCCAGTCTTATGTGTTGAATCATATCCCAGGTTTTGGGAGAACACTGTTTTTCAGCTCATGTGCAGCTGAAGCTTCCTGCACAGCATACCACAGGAGCATTTCCTTGCCAGTCAGCTTTCATACAAGCCATACATACCAGTTTTTTTGAAGGAGGAATTGTTACCCTGCAGGAATCATGGTTTGATGCAGTGCGGTCAGTGTGACTCCCAAAGTGCACTGTTCCCTGCCCCCATCCTCCACTGTTTCTTTCTCTATAAAATCTGGCTATTAAAGGATTCAAGCAAGGGTGAGCAGGTTTTGGCCACTGTAGCTTTTATGCCACAGCATGAATATAGAAAGAGATATGTGCCTTGCCTTATTAAATAATGCTAGGTCAAAAAGAAAAGAGATATATTCATGAGGTTTGTCAGCGTGCCTCCCTCTGGAAGTGAGATACATCAAAGAACTGATATTTGCAAGACGTATCTTTCCTTTAAAATAAAACCAAAGCTTACAAAACCCTGAAAAAGGTGATTTTTTTTTTTTTTTCCTTAGGCTTTTGGTAGAAATTTCCCTTTTTGCCAACAGGGGGACATGTTGCTTCATAATCAAAATCTGATTACTATGGTGTAGAATTTATTTGCTGTGGAAGAAAGTGTATATCCACTTCTATTCCACAGCAATCTACTTGTCTATGGCAATGTACGTGTTTAACTAATTGTTGAGTGGTGAAAAAGCAGTTTGTAGTAATAAATCATCAGTGAGTAACAGAATGAGAGGTTTATTTGGAGCTTAATCCAAAGTTTTAAATTTTGTTCTGTCTCTCATCTTTTTTCTTTTTTTGTCCCCCCTTCCCCCCTGTAGGAATCAACAGAACAGCCCTCAGGGAGATAAAATTGTTACAGGAGCTAAGCCATCTGAATATTATTGGTGTAAGTAAAATGAATGCTACTTCTAGAGTTAGTCCTCAGGTACTTTCGGTACAAGTTCAAACTGAAATTTAGAATTAGTTGGAACATGGAGATGGTACTTAATTTTATTTGAACTATTTTTCCCAGACCAAAATGGACAGTAGAACAACTGTTAGGGCAAAACACCTATTTCAATAACAAAGTAGTTTATTTTGAAATCCTCTTACTTTTTAGTCTGGGGCTATGTGGATATTAATGGTGGAAAGAATTGTGGATTCTTGATTTTGTGTCTCTCTGATAGACTTGCAAATGAGTGCAGTGCTGAATTTATCTGATGGTTTGCCTCACATGGAACTGGTGACAGCCAAAAGCAGGCTTTTGTAAGCAATAGTAAAGTGGGATTCATGTGGCTTATTAGATTTTATTGCTGATACCTAAAACTTCTGTTGGGAGAAGTAAAACCTCTATCTTTTCAGTTGTGTTTAGGCTGACTTCCAGCTACAGATACCCAGCTGGAGCTAAAGATATTTTAAAATTAGCTAATAGTGATGTTTTGAAGGTCTGCCATAAATATTAGACCACATATGAATTTTTCCAGGTATTTTATTTAACTTTTTCAGAGT